TGCAGCTTGCTATGGAAGACTGTGTGAGGGAAAATTGAGTCCATATGAGTTCTGTCTTAGAAGGCTATGCCTCCCACATGCCTGCTGCATCCAGGAAGCATGGACACCTCACCACCAAGGATGGTTCACACAGCCTGTGTGCTTTTCGTAGCTAGTTTTGCTGGCTACTACAGAGACAGCAGGATCCAGCTTTCTTAGTGTCGGCAGTGATACTGACAGTCCTTTGGTACCTGCACTACCTGCATGGGCCAACTCTCACATTACCCAGCACAAGAGCAGTTGGCTGCTTTTTCCCGTGTGCATTTGCATTAAGCCAGATGCAATCTCTGTGCTAAAGGCCACTTAGCTTAGTTCAGTAGCCTGAAGGTTTGCCAGATAAAAGCACCATCAACAGTAAACTATCAGTTAGTGTGGCTGTCTTGCTGGAAGGAGGTTATGCTGTTTGTGATATTAGCAGGGAGAGACTAGAAGTCAGTTTATGAATTATTTTAGCACTGGTTAAAACATAAGTTCCTCCACCATTGCGAACCATTGTAACGGGTTTGTGTGTATCTATCTCCTTGTATATAGTTAAGTGGAGCAAACTTACTGTACATTTCCTTTAGGATTCCCCCTCAAACTGCAGTTCTGTCAGATACTTGTAGTTTGATGGGTCAAAGTGTTTTAATTAAAGTCTTCTGGTAGCAAAGGGAGAAATGCACACAGGTAGAGAGTGTGATACCAGTAAATCCCAGAGCTGCACAAAGCCAATGGCAGTTGTACCTGTATTACCTGGACTTTACTTTGGCCCAGAAATTTAAATTAATATGACATTCATGGAAACTGGACCCTGTGAGGCTACAGTTCTCTATCCATGGATAAGGTACAGCATGAGTAACAGCCATGCAAATAACTATGTAGTGCCCAAACAGTTTGGGCTGCAAAGACCAGCTTGAGAAGCAAACAAATAACCCAGTCTTGTCCTCTCTGGTAAGGCTGCCAGCCTAGAGGCCCAAATGTGAAATGGACATCTGTCACACTGAAACTGTATGGTTACCACCTACGTATCTCAAAGTAGCTGGACAACTACCTGAAGAATTACTGTTGATCTCAACATGTTTCTGTTATTCTTGCCATGTCTCCCTTTGTGGTTCTAATATAGTTTGAATCTCAAAACACTTCCAGATCTGGAGTTGAAGTGTAACCAAAGCAGCACTTCTCATCTTGCTGCACTTTCATATGCTCTTCAGCAGTCTCTCTCTGCCTTAGCTCTGAGCAGACCTCAGAAAGGTCACCAGGACTGTTGTGGGTAGACCTTTTGTTCCTGACTTTCTCTGCCTTTGATTTCTAATCAGAAAACATCATTGTTCCTTTTTCTCTTAACATGAACACACTATGTTTGAACATATGCCTCAAAAGCAAAAGAAACCAGACATTAGGAGAGATCTCAGCTATTAGATGTCATATTTTCTCTCATGTGAGTCACTCCACTAGGATAGCAAAGGAAGGTGTCAAATTTTCTTAAGAACTTAGTGGTTTTTGTGGAGTTTTCAATCACTTATACTGACATAACATCTAGTAGAACATACTTCCCCCCACCACTAGATGTCCCCTCGGCAAAAATAATGCAATTACCCACATGACTGAACTGTACAAAGCACGACAGTGAACAAAAGGTATTTTTTTTCATGCCCAGGGAGCATGAGATCACTGAATTCTACTTATCTGTCCTCCCCACAGCAGGCTGGCTAGGCTACTGCAGAAACCAGTGTGGGCATCTAGCTGCTACCATGAAGCATGCTGTTTGCCTAGTGACAGAAAATACATCTTTCCTTAAGACAATTTTAAAAAAAGTACAATAAACATGAGCTATGTTGCAAAAATATTACTGGAGGTGTGATTTCAACTCATGACATTTCACAACCCTGATGTAGCATACCTGTGAATGTACAGTAAGTCCCACTGATTTCCTGTCACTCCTCTCATGCTAAAAAGTCATAACATCCCTCCTTTGTCCAAACTTTGGATTACCTCTTCTGCTTGTCCACAGAGAAGTAGACTGGAAGGAAGGAAACTAGACAAGAAGTAGAAGGAAAGGAAGGATGGAGAGCAGCAGCGTAAGGACCCTGGACTTCAGAAAAGCAGACTTTGACTCCCTCAGGGAACTGATGGGCAGGACCCCCTGGGAGGCCAGTCTGAGGGAAAGGAGTCCAGGAGAGCTGGCTGTACTTTAAAGAACGCTTACCCAAGGTCAGTCTGCAAGTGAGGGGCAGAGGTGAGGTTAGAACACAGTACGGACTGCCAGAGTGGTGCCTAATTCAGTGGTTCTTAACCTGTTCAAATTCAAGATCCCCCACCCCATAACTTTTCTGAATTTGGAGGCACCCCATTTCAAAAACTAATTTCATTATTTTACTATGGAAAGTGATCCCTGGTAATGTCTCTTTTGGCCAAGAGCTCCCAAATTGATAAAATGCCAAAGCACACAAAGATAAAAATATGGATGCTGTTTTTGTCACACAAAAGAAACCATGGAAAGATAATAGACCAATTTTTCTTCTGCAAAGAACTCAGGAAGACCAGAACAGGTCGGAATGGTTTTGACACTGTGGATTCCTATTTGAAATCTCTGCCTTCTGCCTGGGTTTATTTTGTGAATCATGTGTCGGTGTTTGCACATTTAGCAGGCATAACGTTGCACAGCACCCTTAAAAGAATCTCACAGCAGCCGATGCTATTGTGGCACACTAGCTGAGAATCACTGGCCTAGCTACTAAAATGCACAGCATCCCTACTCATGTCAATAACAGTACACCTAAAGACTGCACTGGCATGACTCCTATGGAACGATGAATGGACTTAAAGAAGAGTAGATGCCTATATACATTACTTAACCACCCTAAATAATTAACCTGTGAAGTCCACTGCAGCTGGATGTAATTTTAGCAAACAGTTCAGTAAGATTTTAAAAAATGAACATGTGCTTATATCAACAGGAGCTGCAGTTTCTCTGGCTAGGATGATATTTAAAAACTTTCAAGTCCTGAAGCTTTAGGGCATATGATAATTACTATGAGGTGATATGAACAATTAAATGTATTATTTAGTGGCTTAGACATTCCTTTAAAACATCCTGAGTTGGCTGGCAGCAGAGACAGGATACTGGGTTAGATGGACCCTCACACTGTTCTGCAATAGCAATTCCTATGGTCTAATTAATTAAACTGTGACTCGAGGGAGACAGTCCTTAGGCCATGTAAACATCAGATTCATTCTGGCAGATATTAATTTTTGTTCTTGCTATTTATAACAACTCCTTCAAAACCTGAAGCTGGAAATTGTTCTCTTCCTGAAAGTATTCTCCCCCACCAGGACACATAGATTCATTATTATGTTGTTGTTTGCTCATGAGTGCTGAGGCAATTTTTATTATTTATTCATTTTTTATGGTGGGAGAAACTATTGAAGTTTTTTAAAAAAAATCTACAAGCCATTATGAAATATAGTAGGAAATAAAAGAGTTCAAATTTTGCACGAGAGACTACAACATTTAAAGCAGGAAATAGAGGCAAGTTTCTCAGCTAATCTATACAAGGATGATTGGAAAGACAAACACCTTAAGTCAAATTCAGTCCCTATGAAAACCAGTACAAATATTTGAAATCAGTGGACTTGCTCCCTCTATGGCAGTACTGAGTCTAGCACACAAAAGTCAAATATTTACTACATTCACACAACGTTAAAATCACTAGAACTTACTTTCTCCGCATTGCTGAATTTGGGTCTTCAGCTGTTCTATGTCACAGGTGAATCGGGCAGACCTACCCAGTTCTTCATCATATTTGCGTTCACTCACAAAGTGCTACAAAATATAGTGCAAATAACATTGACTTCTATTTTAAAGAATCCCAAAAGTATTATTTTGAGGGGGGAAAGTCATTTTCCTGAAATCCTGAGTTCATTATCCTGAAATCACTGTAAAGTCTCGGGCATCTGTTCTGCCATGAATAGGCAGGCTGTCTGAGCGGAATCTGAGTAGGTAAAATGGGAGTATTTTCCCACCCTGTATTAAGTGCTGGCAGTGTAAGACCCTAAAGTAGGTATAAACTACACTGCGATATGAACCCACTTGAAAGCCCCTTTAAACTACCACAGCAGTGTCATAGGGCTTCACGGTAAATGAGAATTAGGTCTAAATGGCCCTGATGATTTTGTTAGGTCAGTCAGCCACAAATTTCAGTGCCCAAAAGATTTTTTGAATGCACTTACAGGACAATTAGTGTGGCTAAATGAACTCTGGCACAGTTTGCACAGGAGTTTATTGTTCCCGGGAAGAACTAGGATGGGCTCTTCTTGATCTGCAGCTCACAAACAGGGAAGAATTGGTTAGGGATGTAGAAGTGGATGGCAACTTGGGCAGCAGTGACCACAAGATGATTGAGTTCAGGATCCTGAGGAAAGGAAGGACAGAGAGCAGCAGACTAAGGACCCTAGACTTCAGAAAAGCAGACTTCAACTCCCTCAGGGAACTGATGGGCAGGATCCCCTGGGAGGCCAGTCTGAGGGGGAAAGGAGTCCAGGAGAGCTGGCTGTACTTTAAAGAACCCTTACTGAGGGTGCAGGAACAAGCCATCCCAATGTGCAGGAAGAATAGCAAATATGGCAGGCAACCAGCCTGGCTTAGCAGAAGACTCTTTGGTGAACTTAAACACAAAAAGGGAAGCTTACAAGAAGTGAAAGCTTGGAAAGATGACTAGGGAGGAATATAAGAATTTTGCTCAGTTATGCAGGGATGAAATCAGGAAGGCCGAAGCGCAAATGAAGTTGTAGCTAGCAAGGGATGCCAAGAGTAACAAGAAGGGTTTCTACAAGTATGTTAGCAACAAGAGAAAGGTCAGGGTCCCTTATTGAATGGGGGAGGCAACCTAGTGACAGATGATGAGGAAAAGGCTGAAGTACTTAATGTCTTTTTTACCTCAGTCTTCACAGGTAAGTTCAGCTCCCAGACCACTGCACCTGGCAGCACAGTTTTGGGAGAAGGTGAGCAGCCAACTGTGGTGAAAGAACAGGGCAGGGATTATGTAGAAAAGCTGAATGTGTACAAGTGCATGGGATTGGATGCATGTGTCTCAGGATGGTGAGAGAGTTGGCTGGTGTGACTGCAGAGTCACTGGCCATTATCTTTGAAAACTTGTGGCAATTGGAGAAGGTCCCAGATGATTAGAAAAGGGCAAACATAATGCCCATCTTTAAGAAAGATAAGGAGAATCCAGTGAACTACGCACCAGTCAGCCGCACCTCAGTCCCTGGAAAAATCATGGAGCAGGTCCTCAAAGAATCCATTTCCAAGCACTTGGAGGAGAAGGTGATTAAGAAGAGTCAGCATGGATTCACCAAGGGCAAGTCATGTCTGACCAACCTGATTGCCTTCTATGAGATAATTGGCTC